TAAATACAAAAGGCCAGAAACACATGAAAAAAAGACCAACATCAGTAAAATTCAAAGAAATATAAGTTCACTATTAAGATATCTTTGGCTGTGAAACTGGAAATGATTTTGAAAATAACAAGACGTGGTTTTGGAAAGGGTGTGGGGGCATTATCAGCATCAATACTTCTGGGGGCAATGAAAATGGGCATAATTTTCCTGGAAGACAATTCAGCACTTGGTATGAGTGGCCCTAAAAATGCACAAGCCTTAAAAACTGACTTAGTAGTTGCACTGCTGTGAGTTTATCTGAAGAAAAGAGAGATATGCACACAATTTGAGCTTCAAGACTGTGAGCTATTTTGATGATCTTTTCTACTAACTTGATCAAGGGTTGTGGTCAGCCCACCTGAAAGTTTGCTTCTCAAAGCAATCTGCGTGGCTTTGTTTTTAACGAGGAGAAATGCAAAGTCTGCAGCCAAATATTTTGTGAGCTGTTGGAGATACAGACCCCACCTGAGGCCCTGGACCTGTGAGGGTCCCTGGAGAGACCAAGAGGGCATCCAGAATCTCTTTTTCCATATGACACAGAACCCAGAGGAAATCAGGTAATTACCCACCATCAGGGTGAGCTGGGTTTCCAAAATGCCAGTTTTTGTCTGGAACATCTCTGGCACAAATTTGAACTGTTTCTCCAACTGCAGTGTGCATACAGGTCACCTGAAGGATCTTGTCAGAATGCGGATTCTGATTCAGTAGGTCTAGGGTTGGGGGATCTTGAGATTCTGCATTTCTAATAAGCTCTCAGGTATTGCTGCTGGGCCTTCACCCACACTTTGCAAAGCAAGAATCTAAGGAAAAGCCACCCAGCCTTTTCTTAAATACAGAGGCTTGCCACCTCCTTAGGAAACATAGGAACCCTAACTCAAATTGTCTGAAACATAAAAGAGATTTGTTTTTGTCTGGAACATCTCTGGCACCATTGCTATAATAACACTGGCTATTTTTTTTTTTTTACTCATCTTGGGCTCGACACCGTGTTTTTTGCTTTTCTTGTTTTAACTCACTTCACTTTAACCACAATTTTTCAAGGAAACTGAGGCACAAAGTAGCTGTTCATAGATGCATGGAGAGTGAGCTGCAAGAGCCAGAACTTACACCCAGAAACCAGAGACCTTAATGGCTGTTACACTGTCATTCTCTGTCCATTCATATTCATTCATTCATTCATTCATTCATTCATTCATTTATTGATATATTTATTGAGCTCTTACTGCTGTGTCTTAAATGCACTGTTCTGGGCATTTAAGACACAGCAGTGAACTAAGAACAGTTCCTATTCTCCTGGAGCTTCCTTTATAGTGGAAAGAGGCAGACAATAAATTAATAAACATATAAGCACTGAAATAAGAAAAATAAAGCGGAGTTAGGGGACAGAGAGAGACAGAAGAGGGTGTTATTTTAGGTAGGGTGGTCAGAAAACGCTTCTGGGAGAAGATGACACTTGAGCAGAGACCTGAGTGAGGAGAAAGGACCAGGCTTGAGGCTATCTAGAAGAGCTGACCAGAGGTAGAAAGCGTCCCTGGCACTCCTAATACAGAACTGCAAGTGCTTTTCCATCTATGCCTCTGTGTGCCAAGGCCCTGGGTCTTTGCTTACTCTGCCTCCTCTGTCCCTCTCACCGAGTCTTCCTCATCCTTCATTTTTGGGCAGGCTGAGATCGTCTGTAGTTAGACCCACGTTCCATGGCTGTCATTCTTTGGTTCTCAGTTTATGTGACCCCTGCCCTAGCAAGTTAGCCCTATCCTCCCAGGTTGAAGCAAGTGCCTCCTTGGTGACCCTGCAGCCCCCTGGACAATGTCACAAGCTTAGAGAACAGTGAATATAAAAGTCCTGTGGTAGGAACAAGGTTGGAGGGCTGAAGTGACAGAGAGATGGATGGCCAAGTACTATGAATGAGGGAATGAGTGGTATGCATTTAGGCCAGAAAGTTGGACAGTGGTCAGATCATGGAGAGCACAACAGGTCAGAGCAGGGAGATGGAACTTTTTCTCAATGTGGTAGGAGAAGGTACTGGAGGATTTTAAGCAAAGAAATGACATGACTATATTTATATTTTGAGAGATTACTCTGCCTATCGTTGCAGAGTGGATTATAGGGGGCAAGATGAGGCGAGAGACCAGTCAGGAGTCTGCACAGTGATCCAGTTGAGGGATGATGGTGGTCTGGACTGAGCGGAGATAGTGGTCCTGACTTCCACCTCTGCATCTACCCAGTAATAGCCCCAACGGAGACTGTCTCAACCCATCTCAGACACGCCCAATTCCTCTCTATTTGCCTTTCTGATTGGTCCACAGCACAAAGAACTTTCACTAAAAACTAGAGTAAATGGTATAAGTATTGGGGGACCCATGTCAAAGAAGGACTTTCAAAGGGTTGTTTGAAGAGACAGTGGCTTCCGGGTGGCCTTTGCTGTGTTTGCTTCCACAGCATCTATTCCCCATCTTTCTTTTAGGGACCCACCTCTCCCCAAATATGCAAATTCATGTGATTGGGTACAAGTGACCCATCCTCCAGCTCAGCGGGTGGAGAGGGAATGATTCCTGATGCTGTCTTTTGAGCATCTGGATCCGGCTATGCTTAAAGCCGTTACTCTGATTTTTTTATGAGTCAACAAACTCTCTTTTATGTTTAAGACAATTTGAGTTAGGGTTTCTATGTTTCCTAAGGAGGTGGCAAGCCTCTGTATTTAAGAAAAGGCTGGGTGGCTTTTCCTTAGATTCTTGCTTTGCAAAGTGTGGGTGAAGGCCCAGCAGCAATACCTGAGAGCTTATTAGAAATGCAGAATCTCAAGCTCCCCCCACCCTAGACCTATTGAATCAGAATCCGCATTCTGACAAGATCCTTCAGGTGACCTGTATGCACACTGCAGTTGGAGAAACAGTTCAAACTTCAAATACAACCAGATGACATTTAAGATTCTTCCCAACTCCAAGCCCTCTGACCTGTTTCTCTCTTTCCTCTGAACAACTGAAGACAAAAGCTAGAGAGGAGCCTGGAAAGTCACCTTGTTGTAGGGGCAGAGAGGGTGGGCCAAGGAAATCATCCTGGCCATATGTGACAGGTGAGTTTCACATTTTATACTTTTTCTTCTGTATGTGCTTTAAGTGCTTATGGTTTAGGGAAGAAGGGCCAGGAAGGGCTGCAGCTAGCCAGCTGTGGAGAAGTCAGAGGGAAGGAGAAGTAGGCAGAAATGAAATGATGAGAGACCCTGAGGCCCATCCTCTAGGAGATGGCTCCCTTAATTGAACCCTTTGTCTGCTCTCCTGAGAGAAAAAGTCTTTTTATTTTTTTAAATGACCATAACAAAATTCTGGCTGTTTCTCAGGAGAACAGACGGTGGTAGACAGAGAGGCCTTCTTCTACTCTTCATTCGGAGATGAGAGAAGTATTGGTGGGTGGGGAGGAGAGGGTCTTCAGGGTCAAGGATGCAAGGAGACACCTGCATGCTCCCTGAGGTGGAGGAGGGGTCCGGCTTATCCTTGCTCTCCCTGCTCAGTGCCCTGCTGACCAGTGGCCTCAGGTCACAGCCACCAGACATCCAGAGGTAGAAGCTATGCAGAGGCAACAGCCTTCCCTAGACTTCCCTCAGGGCCAGCCACTTAATTTTCAGGTTCCAATTCAAAAGGCAAATGCAGGGCCCCTTGTGTAAAAAGCAGGAAAGAAGTGCTGTTAAAAGTACTAAATGTAAGGCCTTTCCTTCCGTTCCATGGTCTCGACTAGTCATGATGTTTTTAATTTGCTATTTAATGTCATCCTAAGTAAAGAAAAACTTGAAATCTAAATCTTTAGCATAAATTTTACTGTTCATCTTTGTAGTATGCAAATGCAAGATCATTAAATTCATATGTGAATTACACAGTATGTATTTCGAAGCTGTACATGCATATGCATTTCGTTCTTACAAGAACAGTAGAAACCTGCTCAAAACTGAGTTGTTTCTATTTCACTTCTTGATATGCGCACATTCTGCCAACACTTAGTATCTTCAGTTTACTGAAGAATACAGAAAAGAAAGTATGGGTTACCATATCTTTCCCTTTCCTTCTATGACCCATCATTTTCATTGTAAGTGGTTGGCTAATACAGGAAAGTAACTTGAGTAAGAAAGAATATGATGGGGTTCCTTGGGTGTTGGGTGTTTCTTAGAACACCACTGCTTTCTTTCTGCTTTGGAAGCAAGTTCTAGTTTGAATAGAGAGTGTGGCTCTCAGGGTTACTCAGTTGTAGACATAACATACTTACCTTATGCTGGCTTTTAATCCCACTCAACTCTCATGCATTCTGGGTCCACTGGAATTCTTTGCTCATGGGGCATCAAGAATGTAATAAGCAAAAAGGGCAGCAAGGAACTGCCTCTTCTGCTCAGGCTGGTTATAATGATTTAGCTCTGATCCCCCAACTCTCAGACCCTTACTTCTTAACTTCTACCACAGTTGTACAAGGTCTTATTTCTGTAATAAATCCCTTATTCCCTAATACTCACAGCGGTTCTACTTCCCAGACTGAAATTTGACTGATAGAGTTAAAGTGTCACCATGTCAACAGCTGGTGAATCCAGGTGTCCATTGAGCCATTTTTACAACTTCTCTATAGAACTCAAATTTTTCTAAATTAGATTTAAAAAAATAAAATTAAAATAATTTAAAAAATATCCTGAGGAATGAATCGATGAGTGAATGAATGTCCATGTTAACCAAATATGCTATTATCCTAGTTTTAGACCTTTATTTAGTTGACCACATTAAAGTTTTTTAGAACCATGAAAATACCTTCTTTATATAGCTCACAGTAAGTTTCTATTCACACATTTCAAGGCTTTTCTAAGTCCAGCTCTATCTCGCTAGATTTTGAGCCCAAATCTCTTTCTCTGTTGGGGAAAAATAGTATTGTGTGTATGTGTTATTGTTCTGATGAAAGAGGCTATTGTTCCCCCACCCCAAAGAACTGAAGGTCTGCTGTGTATATCATAGATCCTTTATTATTTTTCTCTAAATTCTTAGAAATGTACATAACGTCCGTGCTCTAGTTATGACACCATTTATAGACATTTAAAATGCATCTTCATTTATAAATATTTTACATTTGGTCCATAGAACAGATAATTTTACTAAATAATACTGTAATTTTTTTAAACAGGCTCTGTATATAGTTTGAATATGTTTATATTACATATATTTTTTTATATAGAGATAGATTTACTTGGTATTCTGAGAATAAATCCTTATTGCAAAAAGAAGCATATATGATAATACAATATCTTTGCCCCTCAGGGCAAATACTAAAAAAAGTTACACATATTCACAGTTCTCACTGTAATTATACGACACATAATATTGTGCTATGTAAGTACGTTTGGATGGAAATCAGTTAGGGGATTTCTTGCCAAACACTTCACTTAGATTTGCTTACAAACATTAAATACACTGCATTTCTCTTAGAAAGACTTGGTCTTAGTTTCACATTGAAGAACAAAGAGGAAGTGAGAAGTCTTCCTGACCTTCCCATGGATGGGGAGTGGGGCCATGAGACACAGTGAGGGGTTCCTTTCAGTCTAACCCTACACTTTGACAGTACAAATTCATTTTGATCAAGGATTCACCAGTTGGCATTTGGGATGCCTTAGCGATGAGACTATTTTACAGATGACCTCAGGAAAAGGTTTTAGATTTCCTACACAATATCAAACGAGACCTTATATACCACGCGTGAGGATAAGTGTACGTGTGTGTGTATTTATATGTGTACAAGTACTTTTTGTTTTCTCTACAATAATGTGCTTAATATTCTGAGGGTAATATCTTATTGCAAGAACTGGTATGCTGGTCACTGGTCACTTTCAGATGAGAATGACAAGAGATTAAAAAACCCACAGTCACAGTTATTTACCATAGTCATTAAGGATTAGTTGTAAAACACAGTTTGTGAGCTAACTAGCTAAGGAGCTACAGGGCACAACATACGATTTGCTACATGGGAACCCATCTTCCTGGTAAATGAGAAACGCTGAGTTACAGGGGCTTGCAAGGAACTGTCTTCATCTGATTTGTCACCGCCACCACGGAGCCCATGCTGGACAGGAGCAAAAACTACTTTCCAGGGAAGCAGTTTTAATCTATGAAGTATTTTTCTGGGGATGGGGTATTGGATTAACACTAGCTCCTCAGTTAGTGGGCTGGGTTGATTTTAGTGGCAGTGAGGGGATTCGTGCTGAGGAATTTCAGAGAAGGTGAGAAGGCAGCAACTTTGAATGGGGTGGCAGTGAGGGAGATAGTTTAAGAAATGTAACTGGATCCATTTTGACTCAGGGATAGGACTTCACCGTGATTTCCTCTGCAACTGTTCTGTGCTCTGTAAAGCTGGGCAGCCTAAGAGGAACTGGGGCTCCGATTAGGGAACTGCCCCCAGCTGGACCTCAGGCACCCTGGAATGGCGATAGAAACATCAGTTGTGCTTGTGGCAGTTTTCCGGGGAGCAGAGCAGGGCCGGACTGGAAAATTACTTTTGGACCAGGTGCAATCAGAACGGCCTGATGAGGAGAGGGCAGGAAAGCTTAGCCACAGAGATGCTAACTCGGCCTGGGGCAGGGAAAAAGGACACTGGGCAGATTGCTTGAGAAGCAGTTCTGGGAATGCTGACTGAGGTCTTTGGGGCTTGTTTTAAAGTCAAGCTGCCTCCGGAAGGAGAAAACCAAAAAATGAAAGAGCTCCGCTGGCTTCCTGCTACTTAAGAGTGAGCTCTCCCTGGAAATCCCCGTTATACAAAATGCCCTTTTCATGTGTACAGAGCATCGTTCCGATAGAAACGAATTCCTGCAAAGTCCAAAATAACAGTCATGGGTTTTGGCAGTAAGAGAACAGTCAGGAAAAACGACTAAAAGCCAGGAGAGTGCAGCCTCATTGCGTCACACTTTCTGGCTGGATAAAAATGATCTACCGTGGCAGTAACAAATGCTGAATGCTTTATGCTTATGGGGCCCGAATTAAAAAGGTCACCAGCCTGTGGGTGCCGAAGCCATCGGGTACCTTTGCCCACAGCAGAGCTCACTAGGGGTGAGACGGTCCCCCACCTTCCCTTTCTGCATGGTGATGATGTCTGGACTCGCCACTCGAGGTAGGTTGAGATAGACGATATCTTCAGACATCAAGTGGTGGTCATGTTCAGCCAGGTTGGGGTGGGGTGAGAGTGTGGGGTCGGTGAGCCGCCCCGCACGCCTAGATGTAGGCCTCTTTGCTAGCTGAGCCGCTGGCCTGGGGCTGCTCTGGACCATTCTCTGGGCGAACAATATCTTCACTGGGCTGGATCATGACCTGGATGCGCTGTGGGCACCAAGGAGAATTCGGGCTGGGATGGAAGGAGACTGGCCACTCTCTTTCACCACCCTCTTTTCAAGTCTATCCTGTCTGCTCTGCCTTCAAACAGTGTCCAGACTCTGGCCACGCCCCTACATCCTCCACACCCTCCAATGCTCCCACCTCCTCTCCCTTGGGTTATAGCAATATCTCTCTACTGGCCCTCCACTTCCATTACTGACCATCATCCCCTTTGTTCTATTCTCAACACAGGAGCTTGAGGGGTTATGTTAGAAATCACGTCCCTCTACTCCTCAGGACCCAACAATGGCTCCCATTTCACCAAATCCTATAAAGCTCTTTAGGATCTGGCCCCTGTCATCTCAAAACTCAATAGAGGGATATATAGAGAGAAGGTAGTGGGAGATTCATCCATTCATCCATTCAGTCCTCCCCTCATCTGTGCTCCAGCCACACTGGCCTCCTCACTTCTCACACACCCCAAGCATACACCTGCCTCAGGGCCTTTGCACTTGCTGTGCCCTCTGTCTGGTACATCCTTCCTTTCAGATAGCTATGCAGCTCAATCTCTACCTCCTTAGGTCTTGGCTCACCTAGCATTCCCTAAACCCCTTCCTACTTTATGTTTCTCCATAGTAGTCCTCCCCATCTACTGTGTTTTTGTTATTTGTTGATCTTCCTCTACTAGAATGTAAACTCCAAGAGGGTGGGATTTTTGTCTGTTTTGTGCAATGCCGTGTCCCCAGCACTGACAACAGTGTCTGGTACATGGTAGGTGTTCAACATATATTTGCTGAATGGATGAATCTCCCACTACCTTCTCTATATATATCCCCTGCAATCCTGCCTCATCATATAATACACTGTCTTCAGACATGCTTGCCCTTTCCCACCACTGATCCTTTGCACAGGCTGTGCTCTCTTCCACAAATGCAGATGTGACTGCCTCTTGGGGCTCAGCAGAGGAACTTGGTAAATGAAAACCTAGAACCTGGAGTTGGGAGAAAGGGCTGCAAGCTCCGGCTCTGCTAATAACTTACTGCACAGGAAGGGTAAGAAGTTTCCCCGCTCGGCCTCAGTTACTCCATCTGTGATAGGAGGGGCTGCCCAGCAACTTCAGGGCTGCACACAACCCACTACCCATCTTTCCTATGCTGCAGACCTGAGAGCCCCTCCTTCTGGCTCTGAGTGGGCCTGACAGGCACATCTTGGTGGAAAATAAGGTTGAGAGCCACTGATCTAGGTCCTCCCAGCTGATTCTCCATAATCTTATCCTCCACTCCTCCTCAGTGAAATCTTCTTAGCTGAAATTTACTCCATCAATGTCTCTAGCACCTGGGTCCTCCAGCACTGCTTTGTTTCACTCAAGAATTTGATATAATTTAACGAAGAGCTGGCGTGGATCTAGTATGTGCTAGTGGGCTCCTGCTGGGGCAGTGTGCCTTACGTGCTTTATCTTTCCTTGAGGGTAAGGCCGTGTTTTCTCTTTCTCGAATTCACAAATGAGGTCTAGAGTAAGTTCTCAATACATTCGATTCCACCATTATCGGCTCCAAATCCTTGATGGCTCCCCATTACTTTCAAATAAAGTCCAAAATTCTTTTCCTGATTTTCAAAGCCCTTCATGATCTAGCCTCCCAACCTCATCTCATGTCACCCCTCTGCATCCCTCCCCACTCCACCTCCCAGCACATGGATCAGTCTATACCTGCGGGTCTTTGCACATGCTTCTCATCCTCTTCTAGGAACATTCTTTCTGCTTCTACTTTTAACTCTGGTTCATCCTCAGGCCTCTCCTTAGCTATCCCTTCTTTCAGGGAGCCTTCCCTAACCCTCCTCAACCCAGGTAGGAGTAACCGATATCCATGGTTTACCCCAATCGTGGCACCTCTAACACTCTATTTCATTGGCTATTGACTTGTCTGTTTCCCCAGCGAGACTGTGAGCTCCACAAGGGTAGAGGCTGTTCCTAGCACAGAGGGGGAAGGGAACCAGTGATGCAAAGTGTGGAGAAAGGAATTACCTGTTTCAGGGAGCCCTTTAAGGTGAGGAACATGTAGGCCATGTATCCGGGAATGAGAACCATGGAAGACAGAGCCATGAGCCAGCCCACGCCCTGGCCCCACTTGGGGAAAACATAGCTTCCCATGGTGAGAGGAGTCATCTGCACAGCACTGAAAATGAACACACCCTGAGGAGAATGGGAAGGAGGTAGTCAGTCACCCAGATTGGACAAACAAGCCCCCTCCCTAGACCTGCAGCCAATAAGTCCACTGCCCTCCACCCCTACCCTGAGGCTGACCCTCACAAGGGCCCAGCATCTTGGGAATCCTACACCCAAGGCCGCTATTAGAACATAAGGTGCCTTTGTCATGATAGGAGAAGGCATCTCCTCTGGAAGGACCAATAGCAAAAGGAGCCTTCTCTGTGCAAACCAATAGAAAAGGGTAGCCCTTTTCAATATGAATAAGCTACCCTCTCTGGAAGGACCAATAGGAAAAGGCACTCTTTCTGGGAAGACCAAAAGAAGAAAACAACCTTTCTGGGAGGACCCATAGAAAAAGGCATCCCTTCCTCCAAGTTAATCAGCTTAGCAATCAGAAAAAGGGCTGGATGTCAGCACCCAGTTTGCCATTGGCTGGGTGCCCTTGTGTGGGACACAAAATATGCAGTGGCCCACCCCAAGACCTGGGGCAGCCAAGGACCTGAGGAAGCCCCCTCACAGGTCTGCTCATGCCTCAGCTTCCCCTTGTGGGAGGGAATGGGAGATGCTGAGAATGAGAATGGATAGTTTAGGCTTCAGAATCAGGCAGACCTGGTTTAAATGCAGCACTGACATGCTGGGTGATGCTAGCTGGGTAAGCCCTGGGTCCCTTGTGGGAGGGAATGGGAGATGCTGAGAATGAGAAGCCTCCTGGTTTGGATAGTTTAGGCTTCAGAATCAGGCCAACCTGGTTTAAATGCAGTACTGACATGCTGGGTGATGCTAGCTGGGTGAGCCCTGGGTCTCTCAGCAGTGAAGTGGGGCAATAATGTCTAATTCGCTGAGGTTTATGAGGATGATGTAATGTATCTGGTATCATGAAGGGCACAAAGCCGATGTCCAGCAAATAGGAAGGAGTAGTATTAGGAAACGAGGGCCTGGGGTCTCTTCCATCTGCCTTTGCTTCCGGAAGTTTCTCTCTGGACCTGAGTTGCCCCAGGGCCTACTCAGTCCTCATCCTAACAGGTCTGGTCAAGCCTTGTCCTTACCGCCACAATGATTGGGGTGAAGAAGGACCAGCAGAGCTTCCACCAGATGCAGGGCCTGGAGCCAACCATCTCTTGGATGTTGTCATAGAATCGGTTGACACCTATGACATTTGGAGTGAAAGCAAGAGGGATGGATGAGCTGTGTGCACTACAGGCTAAATTCGATGTCGCTTTCTCACACTATGACCATAAGCAAGTCACCTAACCTCTCTGAGGTGCAGCTTCCTCATCTGTAACACGGGCGGAAGCTACGAGGGCGTCATCTTTCTCTAAGTATTCAATAACTAAATACCCGCAGCAAGTGGGTTGTGTGGGAAAGCAAGTCACCTAAATGTGAAAATATCTACCAATAATCAGATAAACATAAAAACGTGTCCCCACCGCTCTTTTTGTCCCTCCTGGTCAAAATGTATCCCAGCCATTCCTTCAAAGCCTGGCTGAGCAGGGGTGATTTTCTCTGTGGATCTGATGCTTTCAGCAACTTGTGATAAATTGCAAAGAACTGCAAATCTTGCAAAAACCCACAGACATCATGAAGTTCAAGAGTGATGTTGGGCACTGCTCCAATTATAAGCAAAGTCACTGACCAGTGAGGGTCTAAGAGCACTCGACCAGTTAAGAGTTGAGGAAAGGAAAATGATGAGGAGGGTGAGGTGGCAAAGGAGATACAATGATTATCAAGGACTAAGACAGACCCCGGAAAACAGTTCTTTCAAACACATCATCTTGTTGTGATAATCAAAGTGCAGGGAAGGACATCCTTTGACTATTATGCAGTTGGGTCTAGAAACTTAGGCCACTAAATAAACAAATAAAATCGTTGTTTCCTTTATTTGTTTTAGGGGCAGACTTTGAATTATAGCCTAGCTTTAAGAAAATATTTAACTTTAGAACTTTTTCATCGTTTTGGTTTCCCTTTTCTAGATAAAATTTCAAACAAACCCTTTTATCCTCGAATTTATCCCATTTTAAATGAGTTTATTTAACTGTTCTTGTGGTATCTTCTAAACATGGACTTCCTGTACTACATCATCAACTAAATAAATTAATGCATGGAAAGGGCCTGGTGTTCAAGTTGTATTGGTTGAATGATGATTGAAGAAAGACATGAACGAATGAGTTAATGAGGGAGGAGGGGTTGATGCTCACCGTAAAACCAGGAAATGGAGACACATTCAAAGAACACGAGGAACAGCAGGCTCATGCCACTGGCAGAATAGTAGTCAAAAAGCTTGAAGACATAAATGCCACCCTGCAAGAGGAAAAGCAGCGAGAGTGAGGCCACTTCTGCCAGAGACCAGGGCACTGAGTTCAGTCAACCTGGGCTTTGCAGTCTGACGAGGTTGGGGTTAGGCTACCCTGGAGCAAGGAGGCTTGTGGGTAGATTTTAGGAAGCACTGAAGGCCTTGTGACCCTGAGAGGATATGGGCATTGACTCTCAGGTGATTGGGAAGAAAATGCCTGGGGGTGGAGAGAAATGCCCTGTTCCTGCTAAGACTGGATGACAGAAAGAGGAGCTGGTCTCCAGAGCCATCTATCCACAATGTTAAATCAGTCATGTCCCTCCCCTGCTTAAAACCTTCCGTGGCTCAAATAAGACAATAACATAACACAAAACTAAGTGGAAAGATAGAAAATAAAATAATAAAATAAAATCCAAATGCCTTGTCCTTCAAGGTCCTGTATGATCTGGTTTTGCATCCCCCTTTTACTCCTTACTTCCTCTGCCCCATCACACTGTCTTTCCTTCTGTTTCTCAAGCTCACCAAGACTATTCTCACCTCAGGGCCTTTGCACCTGCTGTGTGTTCTTCTCCTAGCTAGATCTTCCTCTGGCTTGCTCTTCTCCACCATTTGAGTCTCGGCTCAACTATCACTTCCTCAGAGGGACTGCCCCTGACTACTGTGTCTGAGGTGGCACCCTTCCTATCCCTACTGGTCTGTCCCACTATCCTCTTTTCTTCATGGCACTTAATGATTTAATTTGTATGTCAATCTTGTCCACCAAATTAACTTGTCATGTTAACTACTGAATCTCCAGTGTCATGCCATACCCATAGTCGGTATTCGGCAACTATGAATAAACAATAATTTTGGGTCTGAACTGTATTTAGATCTGGGGTGGTTTTGTGGATCATACATCAGATCCACAGGGCTAAGCTCATGGCTTTAGAGTCACTTATATTTATTGTACAATTCATCAGTTATGTGTCTATCTTCTGATTAGACTGGAAGGGCCTTGAATGCAAAAAGCATTGCTCATTATATTGACAGAAAAAGTGGGAATGAGAGGAAGGGCCAGTGTCAACTTTAAAGGCCCAACTCTGCCTTGACTCTCCAGTTAATTTTTGTAAGTCTTTCAAAACTCGGCCTCTGTATTCTCTCCTCTAGGAAGCAGTCCCTGGTGCCGCAGGCCTGGTTAGGAGCTGTGTTCTCTGGCTCTGTCTTATCATTGCTAGCCTAGCGTCTGTGTCTCTCACCAGCCTGGGGCCCCTTGAGGGAGGGGAACCTGTCTGACGCCTTGCCATGTGTGCCAGGGTTGGTACAAAGATGGTGCTCACTGAACAGATGGAAGGTGGATAAGACAAAGCTGCGACAAAGAGGACCTGGGAGTAGCCCTGGGGCCGTCAGCACCAGAGGTGTGCCAGGTGCTGACTGTGCTCACCTGGGTGATATTAGAGAGGCCAATCAGGTAGGAGACCACACAGACAGCAGCGATGAAGAGCTCCCTGCGATTGCGGAGAAGTCTGGGGTACTCGTCCACCAGGGCCGTGATGAAGCCCTCCACGGTGCAGAACTTCAGAAAGGAATGGAGGTCAGCCCTTGCAGCAGACCCCAGTCCCAACCTGCCTGAAGCCAGACTCTGGGGGAAAGCCAGAGAGCCTGGCAGTATCAGGACAACAGAGCCAGGAGAACCCCGGGATCCAGGCGAACCCCAGGATCCAGGCCTGATCTGCCTTGGCCTCCCTTTGTGACCACAGGAGATTCCCTTCCCTCTGGACATCAGTTTTCCCATCTGGAAAATGGGGAAGGTGGCCGAAGTTTCATGTAGCGGAACATTTTAGGAGTCTGAAACTCTTGGCCATCTTTTCAGGGCCTAAGGCAGTGGCCTCCTCTCCCTGCTGGCTCCCGGACAGGTGAGGCTGGGTGGGGGGGCACCTCGAGGTGCCAGGGAAGATGTCTTCACCTGGCTGTCAATGCCCAGCATCAGCAGCATCGAGAAGAAGAGGACGGCCCAGAGGGGTGAGATGGGCAGCTGGGTCACTGCCTCTGGGTATGCCAGGAACGCCAGCCCAGGGCCTGTGTGGGGAAGGGCAGAAAAGAGAAAGAAAGAAGAGGTACCGAGCAGCTATGGCATACCTAGCACACACTCACTTTTAAAGGTCTATTCCATTTTATCTTTAGAGTAAGCTTTTGGGCAAGTGTTGTCAGTCCCTCTCTCTATAGTATGCATGTGGAGGGAGAAGTTGTAGGGTTGGGTCCAAAAGCAAAGGACCAGTGACATGAGATGAGGGGCTGCAGTGGTCTGGTCAGTGGTGGGGACAGTGCAGGGGCAGAGAGGTGGCCAGATGATGAGACACTTAGAAGTGGTCTGGTCAGTGGTGGGGACAGTGCAGGGGCAGAGAGGTGGCCAGATGATGAGACACTTAGAAGTGGTCTGGTCAGTGGTGGGGACAGTGCAGGGGCAGAGAGGTGGCCAGATGATGAGACACTTAGAAGTGGTCTGGTCAGTGGTGGGGACAGTGCAGGGGCAGAGAGGTGGCCAGATGATGAGACACTTAGAAGTGGTCTGGTCAGTGGTGGGGACAGTGCAGGGGCAGAGAGGTGGCCAGATGATGAGACACTTAGAAGTGGTCTGGTCAGTGGTGGGGACAGTGCAGGGGCAGAGAGGTGGCCAGATGATGAGACACTTAGAAGGTGGAATGGGCAGATCCTAGTATTGGTTGGTTTGTAAGTGAAGGTGAGGGAAGAATCCAGGATGATGCTGGGGCTCTGGCCTGGGCACTCGACAGTGAAACTTTTGCTGCAGTGGGGAGCACGAGGAAGGAGAAGGCTTGAGGGACATGTGGTGTTTAAGTGTCTGGGTAGAGGGTCATTCAAGAGATCAGGGAAAATCCCATAAGGGGAAGGAAAGTCATTGCAGCCTCTCTGGGGTCTGGCTCTGGAAAGGCGGGTGGTGGCTGGGAGTTCCAGAAAAATGAAATGAGGGGCTGCCCATGCAGGGGAGATTAGGCCCTCAGTGGTGAACATTCCTTTCTGCAAGACCAGCCCAGTTCTCCCTGACAGAGGAGGGGCAAGTCACATTGCCTCCCTGAGCCCAGGCCTCTGCCGTGCACACAGCAGACCTTCATGTATGCTGCTTCCTGGTTGAGCAAGGAAGGGCAGGGTTACCAGGGTTTTTCCTTGGATCCCATGGCATGGATGACTGTGCGGTGTGTAAAGTGGGTACAGCCCACTTGGTGAGAACATTTTTAGAGCTTGGACAAATGCACTGATTTGAGTGCATTGTGTTATGATGGTGAATACGTCCGAGTTGGACCAAAATTTATATCCTAAAGGGCAAGAGTGGGTCCTATTCCCCCAGATGTCCAGGATTGTGCTGGAAGTGCCAGTATGGCCAGGCTGTGCAATCAGCCACGTCTGGGCTCAACTCCAAAGTTCCACCACCCTTCTAACTCCCTGAACTTGGGCAGGCAGTGACCTCAGTGAGTCTGTTTTCTCACCTGTGAAATGGGAATAACAAGAGTATTGACCCCATAGTGTTAGGAAGATTCAGGGATACGGTCCACATAAATGTTCAGTGGCACATAGTGACCTCAGTGCCAGTGAGCCAAGGTGGTGGTGATACGAAGACCGACTGAAAGGCTAGTGCAGTTAGCCACCCCTCCCTCCAGAAGTCCTGGCCCTCCTCCGTGCGGTGCTGACCTGAGGCTGCCACATCAGCAATGGACCTTTTGGTGACATGGGCCATGAAGCCCACGATGGAGAAGATGACAAATCCTGCGAACATGCTGGTGCATGAATTGATGCAGCAGACAATGATGGAGTCCCTACAGAGGGAAGGGTACAGTCAGAGAGTGTGGGGCTGGCAGGAAGGTGGGCAGAATTTAGCAAGTGTCAGGGTGGAGAAGGGAGTGGGACTGCAGGGCAGGTGGGTCCACCCCCACCCCCACAGAAGGGTCAGAATAGGCAGTGATGGACAGAAGAACTTGGCTGAGAGGGGGTGTAATTGACAGTGGCAAAGGCCAAGGGGCGTGGCCATGGAGAGGCGTGACTGTGGAGGGGAGTGGCCACGGTGGGGCGTGGCCGGGAACCCGGAGGCTCCTGTGCTCTCGTACCTATAGACGTTGTTGTGGAAAGAGTTGTAGCTCCCAAGAGCAATCAGGGATCCCAGCCCTAGCCCATAAGAGAAGAAGATCTGGGTAGCAGCATCCAGCCACACCTATAGGTAGAATGATCAAAAAATAGTCAAAATTATGATCATAGCCACAGTGCTCTAGGGCTTTTTACATGTGCTAAAAAGCTCTGCTTGGCAACAATCCCAGTTTACACAAGAGGGTCAGAGAGGTGCAGTGACTCATCCTAAGCTGGTGAACGGTGGCTCAGGAATCAAATGTGCTCTTAACCCAGCCAGTGCCCTCCAGGACCGGAGGCCAGAAGGGCCGCTCACCTCGGAGTCCGACAGCTTGCGGAAGTTGGGTGTGATGTAGAAGAGGATGCCCTCCTTGGCACCAGGCAGCGTCACTCCTCGGAAGAACAGGATGATCAGCATGATGTAGGGATAGGTGGCAGAGAAGTAGACCACCTGGGAGGAAAGTGGGGACGTGGTCACACCCCCTTCATCACACTCATGCTTCCCCTTTCCTCACCTCACCTACATCTGTACTTGTGGCTCTGGGCTTGGTTCCAGCTCATCTTCCTCCAGGAAGACTTTCTGGATTCCTAACCTGCTCTGCTTGGCCACTTTTCTGCAGCTCCTCCTTGGAATCTAAACCAACTAGCTCAGCCTTTGGTTTTTCCCTTCCCCTACCCCTCCTACTTTTTTGATTTCTGTTTAAATTATTCAAGTAATACATGTGATAAAGGAAAAGATTTAAGATCACATGAACACACACGCACACGAAGTTCCTTTCAAAGGCCTCTAGAATGTAAGTTACATAAGAGACAAGTCTTCTCATGTTTGCTTCTGTTTTCTCAGTGCCCAGAGCAGGCCAGGGTATACAGTGGACACTCAATAAATGCCTGACAAATACATAAATGTGTGGATGTTAACAATTTTCTTTTGCATATATGGTCACATTTTCTTACAAAATGAAGCTTGAATTATGAACTTGCCTTTTCATTTAACATGTTTAAAGTTAAGAAAACAGTACATACAACTTTGTTTTGTTTATTAAAGATTTTTTTTATTGTCTCATAACGATGTGATTTTTAATTATATAAAATAGTCCCTCAGGATGTTTCACCATCTTTTTCAAGTTTCCCTACCATTATCCATTGAGGTTTCTTCTAATTTTATGTGAATCTCAATAACACTACATTGGCCACCCCTGTATATAAAACTTTGTCTACAAAAGTAGAGAAATTATACCATAAAATTACTATAATTTATACAAAAAATTATACTAATCTTGGGGAAATTTTCTAGAAGGAGAATTATTGAGGAAAAATGAATAAGCTTCTCAAAGGCTTTTAACTCATATTGCCTAATTATCTTCCAGAAATTGAACTTTGTCCAGCATTACAGAGAGCACCTTCCCTGCAAAGATGCCAACACTGAGTATAATCATCTTAAAAATTATTTTTTGCCAAATTGATAATCAAAAGACTGAGATCATTGTCTCAAATCGCATTTCTTTGCTCACTGGTGTGAAAGAGCAATTTTCAAGTTCAATGACCTTTGCATCTCCGAGTCATGCTCAGCATAAATTGTTCTCTAGGTTAGTTTCATCCCCCTGATTTTTGACTCTGAGATTCTTTAGAGTTAGAAAAGGCAATCATGATTCCATAGAAAAATCACTGTACTCGGAATTAGGAAAAGGAGGTTCAAAACCCTCTGTGTCACCTACAAGCTGTGACATGGGATCAATTTCTTATTCTCCTTGAGCCTAGATTTTTTTGTATGGAAAATTGGTATAATCAACATTGCTACTCAAAAAGGTTGTTGCATGAGAACATACACCGTGCTTAATATATGTTGCCTAGGTCTTATACTTCAATGTGTCTTCCATGCTCAGCATGGAGCTAGGTATGCGGTAGGTGCTCGGTAAATGCTTACTGATGGATTGGTTGACTCACTCAAAAGATGCAATACCCCCAAGAAGTAGTCAGTTTCCTAATGTAGCAGGAACTCTAGATACCACCCAAATATGACTATAATTGATGTCATGCATTGAGTGTCTACTATGTGCTAGGCATATGCTACACACTCTGCATAGATTATCCCCCTCAGTCTTTGTGACAACTGTGTAAGGTACTATTATTGTGACCACTGAAGTGAAAAAACTGGCCTAAGAGCACACAGCTAGGAATCAGGGAATGGTATCAAACTCAGCTCTGTTTCTTCTGAAGCCGTTAGGCCCTCATTCTTCTGCTTCCTAAAGTTGAGCCGGGAGACACCTATGCCCTCCTCCTGCCTGCCTAGCCAAGGGACGAGGCAGAGCTGTTTCGACATCAGTCTTACATCTGAGAACCTGTTGAGTCCAAAGTTCCTACTAGACTGAAATAGGGCAGCTTTTCATCAGCTGTGCCCGTGCCCAGATGTGGAATCCATCAAGGTTCTGTTTTGCTAGTTCAGCTTCTCGGGTAGTCTGGACCTCCCTGTCTCCAGCCTCATTCATTTCAAATTCTTTCTCCCCTTTAATTGCTCTAAGACCGCAGACAACAAACTTGCCCTGAATCCTTCAGGTCAATGCCAGTGAAAGACTTGGCTATCTTCTGTCCTGGGACTCATGGGGTGGGGCTTGAAGGGGGATCCTTCCTTGCCCAGGAGATGGGGATAAAGCCAGTCTCTCTGCCCCCGGTTTGATCAGCAAACTCCCTGGATATCCCCAGGCTGGATACCCCATCTTGGTCTGGCTCTGCTCTTGCCAATAATAAAAATACAAATAGTAACTCCCCTTGCTAGCTGCTGAGTCCTTTACAAAATCACCATCTCATGTGATTTGAATGACAAACCAACAGATAAGCACAGGCATATTAGGCCTATTTTAGAAGAAACTGAGTTTCAGAGAGGTAAAGTGACTTGATGGAGGTCACACAACCAAGTCAATGGCTGGATTGGGATCTGAACTCTGGCCTGTTTGAATACAAGGCCTGGGTACTCAACCACTAATCAATTTATCTCTGTTACACCTCAAAGCCTGGGATGTGTAGTATTCACCTCTAGCCAATCTCCCTTCTCCCTTGCCTCTCACACCTAGAACAAGGTTTAGAACAGAGTCAGTGTTCAGGGAGTTTGTTCAATGGTCCACAAGCAACATTTGCCTTCTGGTTTTTGGTGGCTCTGCCAGGCCCTGGGGAATCTCAAGAGACTTACCGTGAACCAGGCACTATGTTAAGGGCCTGACTTGCATTGTTTCCTTTAATCCTCACACCTTCCCATGAGGTAGGTAATGTTATTTCCATTTTACAGGAAAGAACACTGAGGCACAGAGAGATGAAGGGATCTGTTTAAATTAAGGTTAGATAGGGTTCCTCAGAGGTACAGATTCCTTTCCCAGGGCAGAAACCCCTTTGTAGACCCATCCCTCTCCAGTTCTTATTGTGTACATGTCTTACCTTTCCAGTCCAGCCAACACCCTTCCAGATACAGAAATACACAAGGATCCAAGCGATGGCCAGGGTGATGGCCAGAGGCCAGCGGATCTGACCCGGCTTATCCAGCCCATCTGTCATCTGATGCATGTTGTGCCTGGTGGAAGAGTGGGGTGGGGAGGGCATGGACATGGGCAATATCATCCACTGTGTTTGTGCTGACATATGTGATCACTGAGATCTAAGAGCTGGGTGGGGACTGTGGGACCCATTATACTAATTGGTAGAAAGTGCTGACTTGACAGTGTCTTATTTTCAGTTACCATTGTTGCTCACCTGGATGGCTACAGTAGCCTCCTAACAGGACCCCTGCTTTCACTTTTGCTCTGTCCCCACTCCAGCCCCAGGGATCCCTAAATTGCAGATCTGGTCTTGTCACTTCTCTGCTTAAAATTCTGCAGTGAATAACTCCCTATTGTTCTAGAATGAAGCCCAAACTCTCCAGGTGGACCTTGCAAAGCCTTCATGAGCTGGCCCTTGCTTCTTTCTCCCATCTTGGTTCACACCACAACCTCCTCAAACTCTCATAAGACTGGATTACTGATCATCCCTTCACTCCAGCCTTGCTTACTCTTGCCTCCCTCCAAGTTTTCATGCATGCTCTTCCTTCTGCCAACACCTGTCTTCCCAACATTGTTTTCATCCTTAGATGCCACTCCTAGGCTGGCCTAGGCACCTTCTGTGAGTCCTTCCTTTTAGCATTGGTCATCTGGTGTTGCCATTGCCTGTTTGCTTATTCCTGTCTCTAATCAGACTGGCATATAGTAGGTGCTCAAGAAATGTTTATTGAACAAATAGTTGAATGAAAAACCTGGACACACGCCAGACAATTGTATGTGAGAGATGCCCCAAAGCAGAATCAGCTGGAGCAGAAACTGATTGTTATCTGTAAGGAAGGAGACAGTCTAGTCAAGGATGGCTCAACGCAAAGAGATTGGGATCACGTGCTCTGACAGCTCCCAAGAATACCTCCTCCTGGCAGCCTATCCAAGGTGCAGTGAAACTGTCCAGGTGTCCAGGTTGCTCCAGACCCTTTCAAGCTGTCGGGCACAGATGCTTCCTTCATGTCAAAGAAATTAGGGTCCCAGGACCATTTTGGAAAATTAATGTTCCCAATGCACATTTTCTATGATGTGCCCCCTGGAAAATACAATCGCCATGGCTGCAGGGTGGACAGTGTGTGTGTGTGTGTGTGTGTGTGTGCGCGCGCGCGTGCGTGCGTTTATTCCAAGTGACTCTGGGTTACTAAGGAGACTGGATTGGTTTTCAGGATGAATCTGGACTTCACTGGTCTCTCCTTGTGATTCTTCTCAGTCTATGATGGTTATTCCTCTCCACTGGCCACTGTCCAACCTTCTCCACCTTGCTCCATGCTCTGGAGGTGATTGCTATGGCTGCATCACTGCTTCCTTGCCCTTGAGCTTCTGCTGCATTTGACCAACAGCAGGTGCTTGGAGGGCAGGCTGAAAGGAAGGGTCTGGGAGGTATTCTCTCTACTGGCTGTGGCTTCATCTGTAGCTGTGTTTCTCTACCTAAGGTCATAACACATGTCTAGTGGCCCCACCTATGGTCCAGCTCTCTCTTGGGGAGAAGGGGGCTTTACCCTCTCTGTGGCTCCCTTAGCTCCACCCACATCTCCACAAACAGTCCTTCACCTAACTCTTCCATCAGCCTTTTGAGGGTGCCTCCGTGCCCGCTGGCCCTGGCTGATATGCCCCCGACCCTGGATGGCCCCACACTTACTCCCAGAACTCCACCACAGCACTGGTCATGTTGGTGGTGTTCACAATGCTGTAGTTGGAGAAGCAGCGGTCTGTGTTCCAGGGGTTGTCACACTGTTTCCATGGAAGCGTCTGCAAAGACAGTGGCACAAACAAACCCTGTTGAGCCCCTAGGGGCTGGAACAGTGGTCCCAGCACATCCCATTCACCCTCACAGTAACCTGAGCCTCCTCACAACCATTATCTCAATTCCCCTTTCTGATAGCTCTGGGATGCAGGGCATACTGTGAACCTCATTTTAGAGATCAGAGAGGGGCAGCAACTTGCTCAAGATCACACAGCTCCTCAGTGTCACTGCTGAGATCTGAACCTCTACTTTCTCACTCTGAAAACCAGCTTTCCAAGCTGCACCATTAAGTTTCATGTGTCCATCCCGGGGCCACTTTCCAGCCACTCGACCTTGGGCAAGAGACCTCATCCATTTTACCCTGTGCACACTGATGTTTATAGTGCTTGTTCTTTACCAGGCACCGATCTAAGCACTTTACATACATTTACTCCTTAATCCTCACAACTCTAGGAGGCGGGTTTCCCTTTTACCCTCATTTTATAAATGAGGGCACTAAGGCTCAGAGAGGGTAAGTCTCGTTCTGAAAATTGCACTGCTGGTATATAGTAGGGTCAGGGTTTAAACCTGGGTCCATATGAAATGGGCTGATAATGCCCACCTTAGAGGGGTGTCATGAGGATTAGATACTAGCATATGTGAAATGCATGGCTTGGTGCCTGGCCTGGAGCTGGGGCTCAGGTCATGGTGCTACAATTGTGAAGAGACAAGGGCTGCTTAAGACCATGCCCATAACCCGAGGAATGGCCCTGTCAGCAGAATGGTGGTCTCAGTGGATGGAACGTGGGCTCTGGGTCTGGCTCTTTCTGAAGAGGTGGTCAGAGGGTCTACTCACCGTGGTGAAGGAATTGTACAGGTAGTAGATGGCCCAGGAGATGATGACAATGTAGTAGATGTTCAGCCAGAAGGACAACACAGCAGCAGCAAGGCCCACACCTGGTAATGGACATACCATCATGACATTCATTTAATAACCAGTGTGTGCTGCACAACATCTACAATCTTACTCGGCCTTAGAGAGGGGCAGGAACTTGGCTATGGTCACATGCATCTGGCAAGTGAGGGAGCCAGGCCTTGAGTCTGGGCATCACAACCCCCCTACCCCCGTACGGGCTGGCCACAGGTGGGGCTGGGGCTGGGCTTGTTAGGCAAGCATGATTCTCCACGTGTCCACCTGAGTGTCTGCTGGCACTGAGCAAGGAGGCAAAGAAAGTCGCACTGAAACCTTGCCAGGGAAATGAGCTCCCAGAACAGAGCAGCTGATGTGTGTGGGGGAGCCTCTGGATTGGATTCTCCTCTCCACTTTCACTATCCTAGGTTCTGGCCAGCATCACAATCTGTCACCTGTCCCCTTATAAGGGCTCCACACTGTTCAGATGTGGCGGAGCAGTTCCCTCTTTCCGGGGGGTTGGGGATGTTGGGAAAGCCTGGGCTTCACCATCGTCCTGTGGGCAGGATCGCCACCGCGACCCATGGCCCCGCTCTGAAAACTTACCCTTGAACATAGGGGCCAGCTTCCAGACCCCCAGACCCCCAATGGACGTGTACTGGCCTAGGGAGCACTCCAGCAAGAAGAGCGGGACCCCCGCAAAGATGAGCGTCAGGAAGTAGGGGATCAGGAAGGCCCCTGCAGGGTTGAGAAGAGAGATGCTCGTGGGTGGCCCCACAGCTTTGGAGAAACTCTGGTCAGAGAGAGCATCAGGAGGGGCATTCTGGGGTCCCAGCCACGATTTCCTTACATTTTGCCTCAAAAACAGCACCCACAGCCAAAGTGAGGCCCAAGAATATCCTCTGCTCAAAACATATCCCCTCCACTTTCTAAATAAAGAGGCGACCTTTTTGGTATCATTGACAAGAGTACAATCTCCCTCTGGGAATTCTCTGCTAAAAGGACAAGAAACAGGAAGTGGGCCTAACACTTCTTTTGGAGTCTTTAGGGGACCCGTTCCTCTAAAGTTGCCCCAGAAAATGTCTAAGCGGGACCCTTTCAGTGGGATCCAGGCCCAGCTGGGAGGTGGTCAGGCCAGCACCTACCGCCGCCGTTTTTTCCACAGAGATAGGGGAATCTCCAGACGTTGCCCAGGCCGATGGCGTAGCCCACGCAGGACATGAGGAAGTCAAAGCGGCCCTTCCACGTGTCCCGGTCTGGAAGGTCCGTTGCCTTCTTCTGCACCTTGACCACCAGGGTTTTGGGTTTGTCATTGGCCACAGGGACCTCGCTGACCTCCGTGGAGATCTGCCCATCGGCAACCTTGCTGCCATTGGTCGCCATGTCTCGGAGTTTGGACACAGAGGTCCTGGCAGATGGACGTGTGATGTCAGCCCCAGTCCACGTGGACAGCACTTTTGCGGCTCAAGGTCACCCTAGAACAGAGGACTGGGGTGACAGGCAATAAAGGGGGCAAGATTCTGGAGTTTCCCCAAAATAACAACAACAAAAAATAACCCACATAAAGACTAGGGGCCCAAGAAAGCTCTCCCATAAGCCTTCTTCCTCCCACCAGCTCCTCTACGAAGAGAGGTGCCTTTTGTTTCCAAAGACAACATGTGAGGATGTGGTCTGTTGTTTCCTGGACTAGCGTCAACTCTGACCATCTCTGTCATGTGCCCTCCATTATGTATCTTCCTCAGAGAAGAAACAAAAGGTGACTAAATTTTTAAATAGAAACATGAAGTGCTCCTCGTCTTTGCCTCCCTGGATGCGATGGGAGATTTTCATTCCCTGATGCCATAAAAGCTATGGCAGGGTAAGCTATGGTGGATCTGAACGTGGGCTGAATATGGAGGTGTCCTGGCTGCAGGTGGTAGGTGAAGGCAGTGTATGAGCACAGACTCTGACCACGATCAAAGTCCTCTTCACCACTTTCAAACTGTGTGACTTTGAGTAAACTTCTTAACCTCTCTGAGTCCCACTCTTCCTATTCTTTACATTGAAGATGATAACAGTATATCCCATGTCAGGTTGTTGTTCTTCACGTATTCAGTGTGGCACTCTCTGCCTGGCGAATGGTGAGGACTTGTTGCTATTTCATCAGCAGTTCCCAAGCCTGGCTATGTTTCCAAGTCATTTAGGAAGCTCAATAAAGACACATTCCCGGGCCCACTCCAGATGTGCCAAATCAGAATCTGTAAAGGAGCCTGAAATCTATACTTTTAACAAATTCCCGAAAGGAGATTCTCATGCCAGAAACCCAGCCCCAGCCCTCAGGTGAGGAAGGACCACTGGCTTAGATGACCTCTCTGACCTTCAGTCACCCCAGATGTTTTACCTACACTGCATCCTTCTCATCTCTAGTTCCAGAGGTAGCGAGGTGTGATACTGGACTCAGCCCAGTCCTGGGTTCAAATCTCTAGTCTTCCTTTTACCAGCCGAATGACCCTAAGTACTACTCTTCATTGCTCTAGCCTCAGTTTCCCCATCTATATAATAGGGGTAATGCTATCTGGCTTGTAGAATTGTGACAAAAATGAACTTTAATGGCTGTACGAGTGCTTTTCACCTGACCAGTGTAGAAAGAGAACTCCATAAATGGTTATGATTTTGGTTGTTGATGTTACCTGATGATTTTCTGTGGTGGATCAGCTGCAGAGCAGTCCTCTCTGCAACCTGTGGGTGACAGCCTGCAAAGCAGAGGAAAGAAGGGATGGTGAACAGGCAGACAGCATCGATGGGCAGCCCTGGGCAGAGAGCAGCAGGGGTGCAGGAAGCCTGCCTGTATCGGGGCTTTATATGAGTCCCTTGGAGCCACCCAGCCAGGGTGACCTCAGCAAGTCCATGCAGCATGCCTGGCCTATGGGATGCTGGAGACATGCAGGAATGGGGCCTGCTGCCCTCAAGACAGCTGTGGGGGTGGGCATGAGGGCACCGTGAGGAAGACGTTCCATAATTTTATCAGGAGGAAAAGATAAATCACAGAGGGGCTGCAGCTCCTCAGGGCCCCACTGGGAGCCAAGGATTGCAGCTGATATTTTTCTGTATCCTCCATCCAACCTTGCAGAAATACTGTGAAAGGCCATGTAAGAACATGGGAGAAATCTCCTTGTTTTGTAGAATGAGAAAAGCAGGTTTCAATTTATTTAGTATGATCCTATTTTTGCCGCCCCCTCTCCAAATCTGTTAATTAAAAAAAATAAAAATAAAAACTAAACTAAAACACTGAAGGATATACCTTAACCTATCCCCAGTAATTAGTTTATAAGTGATTTTTGTTTTCCTTTTTTTGTGCTTTTCTGTATTTCAAGAATTACTTTTAAGTTTCTATAAAAATTTGTAAATAAAATATATTTCTAAATTGCTGTATGATTTTTTAAATTAATAAAATAACACAGAATAAACTTATGGAACCCTCAGAGCTAACAGGAACGTGTGAAGCACTAGTCTGTGAACTCTCAGATGTAGGAGCTGAGCCAAAGCAATGTGTGGCCCCTGCCCCAAATGGCTTCCTCCCCTCAGCTCTGCCCCACTGGGGGGACCCAGGTCTGCTGTGCACTCACCTTCCGGCCCCTTGCATGCAGTCCCCATTATCAAACACCATTGTTTCTTCCTAGAGTTCACGAAGAACCAGACCACCTTCGGACAATCCAAACTTTACTGCCAACCCTGCTTCTTGTTCTCAAGGACGACCCACAGGCTTGTCTCGGACGCCTGTCTAGATCCTGGCCTGGGCATGGCACCATCAGAAGTGACTCTAGACTCAGGAAGAGTGATCACCTCCAATCATCAGGAATGGCAGGAGGCAGGCAACTCTGTGGTCTATCAGGGAAGCTTGGGATACGCAGGGGAGAGAGCCACCTCAGGAAAGTGGGAGAGGCTAAGGTGGACCCCCATAGTGGGGGCGTCAGTCATTAACTGTGAAACAATGATGCCTTTAACTGTTCCCAGGATCTACCTGTCTGCGCTCTGGCTGCCATGTTTACTTAAAGTGACCCAATCACCTGGGACCAGGGCTGGTCACCTGACCCTGGCTAGCGGAGCAAAGCTCCTTCCCTGGGGATCGGGCATTGTTACCATTGAGGCAGCTCTCTTCTGACTGCCTTCTACTCAGAGTAGCAGAGAAAGCTGGTCTGCTGAGGAGGAAGGAAAGGAGAGATCAAAAGATGGAGAGAAAGTCTTGAAAGCATTCTACTTTGTGGTTCCAGGCTTTCTTAAGACTGGCTACTTTCCTGCTGTCGGAATTTACAAAGCAATCCCACAGTCACAAAAGAAATTCCCCATTTTTGCTTACACCGGCTCAGGGGATTCCCATAGCAATCTTGAATCTCTGTGTACACGCTACCACCACTTGATCAATCTCAGGAATTTTTTTATGCCTGTGAGAACAGCTTCTGGCCTCCACTCTGTGTTTACTTGTTGATTATCATAGAGACTCAAAGCAAACACCAAAATCTACCACGTTTTTTAAAGTGGTGCTGTGCACTGGGCCTCGGGATCACCCAACACCACTTGGGAAGAGAGAAAGAGCAAGAAGAGCGAGAGCGCGAGCCAGGCGCAGCTCTGGTTCACTCCCCGAAAGCAGGCGCAGTGACAGCACAGGTTTTACAGGGCGAAACTTAGTGTGTATGTCCTTTGAAGTAACCATTTGACATCAACACAAAGGCAGGTAGGAAGGTCGGAAGGTTGGGGGAAGGGAAGAGGAGTTCTTGGTCACCAGGAGGTTTATTCGGGAGGTTTATTCCATCGACTTTTCCATGAGTATGTTGAGCTCCACCCTGTGCCAAGCCTGGCGGGATCAGAGATGGTGGCTGCTTTGAAGAACTCACCATGAGGAAGACATACATGTGAACTCCAGAACATGGGAAAATGTATCCAGAAGAGCCACCTATGTGGAGTTTTCCTTTTAGAACATGTACAATATATGAAGATCGATGACATAAAAACCATGAATTAATATAATTAACATGACTGATGCTTCTTCAAGGATTCAGATTGAGAAGACACTCTGACTTGCAAGGCAGCAAGACTACCCCAGTGCTGAATCAGATCTCAGCTCCCTCTGACACTTACTAATGCTGAGCGAGTTACTTCCCCTCTTTGATCCTTACCTGTAAAATGGGAGTATAATATTAACACTTCTCTCAAAAGGTTGTGGCAAAGATTAAATGAGATCGTGCACGTAAAGTGTGTGAAAGAATGCCTGGCTCCGTGAGGGCTTAGGGATCTCTGCCATTGTCATCATTGTGGTTGTTACCATCTATGGATTGGTATGGATTGTGGTTCTTAATCTGGTATTCACAGCTTACCAGAGGCTATAACAGTGATGATGATGATGATGATAGCAGCTAACATTTACTGAGAGTTCATTATTCAGGCCCTTCAGCATCTTTCAGCGTTTTCAAAGCCCAGTGGATATCGTCCTTTTAGTTGCCATGGGAAATACTAGCTAATAAAAATGTCAAGTCCTTTGCTTTGGCTCCTTTTATACCAATTCAGTGTGGTTTAGCTAATCAGACCACTTTGGGCTAGCTAGAAGTGGTACATTTGTGTGTCTGGTTAATAATAATAAAAAAGAATCATTCTCTGAAAACGTCTGGTAAGAAAAAAATTCCCGAAAATCTAGATGATGGGAGGAAAAGGATAAAGGGACCCCTGTTAGTGAAAAACCTTGAGATCCAGGGCTTACATAGAGGGGTTCCAGAAGGTGCCTTGCTCATGCACTCTAGGGGGATAGCTGCATGAGAATTTTAATTCCTGACACGTATTCTCACGAAAAACAGCACATGGAGAGCACAGGCATATGCAAGTTCATGGCAAGGGAACCTGGCTATCTTTCCAGAAAATTAATGATCTCTGAAGCAGAACTAACCTTTTACCATTGTTCCCTCCCCATTTCTAAAACAGGATCCTGTGCTTTGTGGAGTAGGGGTGGCTCCATGTTGGGTGGCTCTGTGGGTCTGCCGCGGTAAGACCACAGTCTCCCTGCTCTGAGTGCCAGTCTGCAGCTCATCTTCACCTGCTGGCGGAGTGGGTGGAAGAAAAGCCTCTCACCACTTCATGATCTGGGGCATTTTTCCAAGGCCTTTTTCCGGAGTCTTCCAGTTCTTCCTCATCAGGTGACAATATTCTGCAGACTGAGCACCTAGCTCCACAGTCTTCCAGGTCCTTAATATGCCACAATTAACTGAATTCCACCAAAGTAATGTTTAAAAGAGCAAGGTTAATGTGACACCACAAGTGACAAGTCCTCTGTATTCACTCGCCTACTCATTCACTCCTTTATTCATTCAACATGTATTTACTGAGAACATGCTATGTGCTGAAATGGCAATGGAATAATTGTTTCAAGCATTTTGTATTCTGAACTATGCCAGAATTTGAATCAGTGAACTAACAGGGGCCAGCAGAAAGATTCAATATTGTAAACACTTATTGAGATCCTAATGTGTACATTGGAGCTGGGCTGGACACTCAGGTTGCAAGGATTAA